AGTGCTGAACCTTATGGGCAGCTGCTGTACCCAAACATGTTTACACAAGATCACCCGAGGCATCGTGTCTATCAGGGAAGCTCTCAAGAGCTTTGCAAGCACAGTGCCCTGTCATCAGCCTTGCCTAGTGCACCAGTATCTTTGAAACCTTTCAAGATGATAGGGAGTTACATAAATGCCAAGTACACTTACATGTGAAAAAATCAAAGGTCATCTGAAGAAACATATTCTGCTGCTGAGGGATGAATAATCCTGAGGTTGGAATATGCTTTCTAATTTTTTAGTAAGACATGAAAGTGCTAATACTTGATGAAAGCACAGGGGACATGTACCCATCTATGATTAGCATCATGCAACTGTCTCGTCAAAATCTGGTGTGTCAGTTTATGGCAAACTTATCATGATCAATGTCAATACACACTTGTTTTAGTATTAACAGACCTGCAAACTTCCTGTTCAGGTGAAGAGAGGTATTTTACACTTGGCCTTGCCTGACTGAGCAAAACTGTTAGGTATGTATACATTTGGTACAGTATCTCTTCCTTTTTATAGCCTGATGACACATTTTTATATTGATGAGACATCAATAGCTATTGTTCAGTTGTTTTTATATTGATGAGACATCAACAGCTATTGTTCAGTTGTACACGTCTCCTTTATAACTCAATAAGCTGCTGTATTTATCTATATTCCCTACTGAATGGGAATATGAGAAGACAGCTGCTATAGCAAGCTGCAGAAAGGTTCTGTTCAGTCTTCTCTATATCAGCCATCTCTGTTTCCATGTTACACCCTTTTTCTCATATATCTGCATTCACATTTATGTCTCTCTGTGTTTATTGCCCACTCAAAATCCTGAAGAAGTGACACCAGTGAAGACAAACTAAAATAACATATATTGATTTAAAATAATTTCTGCTAGTTCTACATTGTTGTACATTGTGTTTCTTCCACGGGCAGCTATGCAATTATAGGTGCTTGGGTGCATAAAGTGATATGGAGGTTTCTACAGCAATTATTCATTTTAAT